ATAGAAAGAGCAAAAAAAGATATTCCTAATACAACAAGAAAGATAAACTATTCAATTATCAAAAAACATAACTACCACATAACTAAAACATATAAAGTCCTCACAAATATTAGATCTGTACTAAGACACATAGAGACTAATACACCACAGATCGATAGAGAGTGGTGCAACCAAAAAATCATCCAAATTAACAAATCAGTTAAGGAAACTATACCAGAAATAGTGAATACAGAATCATTCTCTAATATACTCCAAATACTCCTAAAAGGAAAAAGAGTAATCACTAAAGCCCGCAATACTGAAAACAAAATTAGAAAAATACAAGACATCAAAGAAAAAATACAAAACACATCCAAAATGATCCAAAGCATCCTACAAAAATATACAGATCCAGTAAAAATACAAAATATCTGTATTGAGAACAGTCTAATCACAGACCCTACAAAAATTAAAGAAAAGATAAAAGACAACTTCGATAATTAGACAAAATACAATCCTACCAATATGGCATACTGGCCTGAATGGGAAAAAGAATATAGACAAAAAGAAACTATAAGAGGAAACTAGTACGATGAAACTAAGGTAACTAGCATGCCACCCTTAGTCATGCCATTATAACATGCCTGGTCATGGCATACCATAGACATGCCAAAATATTTAATATCTACTTGGCATGCCACTTAATATATAAACTAATAAAATATATTTTAATATACATCTATACTGTAAAATTGCAATAAAAAACCAACCTATTATTTACAATTACATGAACTACATTCATTTAAAGAATGATTCTTTCTAAAAAAATACTAATTTAATTGTTTAATAATGAGCAGGCCTACTGAATAATTAATTGTGTGGGCAATTAATTGCATTTTCGAACTCAATTAATTGATGGTGCAGCCACAATTAGTTAATTAATTGCAATTTTTGTAAAATTTAATTGTATGATGTATGATAAAAAAATTAATTGCAATTAATTTTTCAGTAGGCCTGATAATGGGGTACTCAGGAATAGAGACTGGACTTGTGAAAACTTGTGACTTGCGAGTTAAATTTTGAAGAGTTTCGAATTAACTCGAATCATATGTTCAAGTTATTTTTTCGAATCAAAGTTGAGTAATTCGAGACAATTAAATTATAAATTCATTAAAAATTCTTGTAAAGCCGAATAAAGTATATTTTAAATTGCAAATACAAACAATAGGGGTTTCAAAATTAAAAAACAGATATCTATTTCAAAAGAATTAAGAGAAATTATTTGTTTCAAAATAAGTAATCTATTAATATATTTATATTAATATAAGCTTATTATATTATTATTTTATTAAAAGCGCTTTAACAATTATTAGACTACATAAACAAAAAAGTTTAAACACTATTTCATTTTCCAATTTCAAAATTTTAATTTAAAAATTACAAATATAATTTTTTTTTAAACTCTGCTAATTTTGAAACCTTTAATATTGCTATACATAATTTTTATATTTGTGATTTAACTCACGAGTAACTCACGAGTTTCGAATTTATGATTCAAATCATGATAAACTCGAGTTATTTGAGTCATGAGTTGACGAGTCCAGTCACTACTCAGGAAGATTTGCGAATGCGAAACTTTTAAGTTAACGATTATCGTTATATTGATTATGTATTTAAATTACTACACATATGTAGTATACATAAAAAAAATTCAGTTTGAAATCTAGTACGCAAAGCATATATACTATTTGATTATGCCAACAAAATTGTCTGCGCATATATGTTTTGCACACGCATATCTGAATATTTTTCTTGTGTGAAGTTTTTTCACTACACATATAGTTATTGTACAAATAACTTTAATTTACTCAAGTTATTACAGGTTTGCACCTTGGACAAATTAAGTGTATGTAAAAAATTTAAGTATATGCAAGAAAATTAAGGGACTACTATTTTTGTTAGTATATAAACCGTGTATAGTTATTGTACAAATAACCTTAATTTATTCAAGTTATTACAGGTTTGCAGCTTGGACAAATTAAGTGTACGTATGTAAAAAATTTAAGTGTATGCAAGAAAATTAAGGGATTACTATTTTTGTCAGAAAATAATCAGTAGTTAATCATGAGCCAAAATATAGTAATTAGAAGTAATCGATAACACTAATTATAAAACAAAATAATTCAAAGAAATATGTAATAAATATATATAAAATATATATATATATATATATATATATATATCAATAAAAAATTTTGCAAAGTCATTATCTTCGTATCTGTAAAGCAGGTAAATTTACCTGCTAAAATAAACAACACATAAAAGATAAAAGTACAAACAGAGATAATGATTTATAAGTAATAAGAAAACTTGTAAATTAGCATTTTAAATCTTTGCTTTTAATCGTGATATCTTAAGATCTAATAATTAGATTAAAAGCAAAAACCAAAAATACCGATTTACAGATTTTCACTTGTGTGGTTCATATTTTTGATATAGAATAATGTATATTAGCTGCCTCATCTAATTCAGGTATAGAAATTTCGTGAACATATAATAATATAAAAAAGTTTTTGATATAATAAAAGAAATATATAAAGATTCTATCTAATACTTTTCGACCTTACCTATAACAAAAAAATATTGTTTAAAAAAAAATTATAATGCAATCCCAACCTTCTACTAGTTTTGTTTTTCCTGACATGATAACTCATGATATTCGGTGGACTGGATTTTGGCGTTCAGAAGAAAAAGTCACAGATAACAGATATAAAGCCAAATGCTCCTATTGTAAGTTAGAGCTAGCTGGCAGGCCTAAAAGACTCCATAATCATGTTCTCAAATGTGACTCTTGGTCAGTTACTGATAAGAGCAACTATATTAAAAAAGTCACTGGCTCTAATTCTTAAAAAAAGGTCAAAATTAATTCTATTTCTAATCAGAAACAGACAGTGTATGTAATTACAAACATAAAATATAAATCCTTAGACCTACATTATTTCATAAA